AGGAGGGCAGACACTGACTTGGGGACCTCTGAGAGCCAGGGACAGACTTCCCCGCAAACACACAACCACACACACACACAACAAACACACACACACAAACACACAGATACCCTGGATCTAAGACTCCCAAGCCCCAGGGTCTTCAGTGACTTCTACCATCTCTCTCAATTTTTTTTTTTTTGAGATAGGGTGTGGCTCTGTTGCCTGGGGCAGAGTGCAGTGGCATCATTATAGCTCACAGCAACCTCAAACTCCTGGGCTCCAGTGATCCTTCTGCCTCAGCCTCCAGAGTAGCTGGGACTACAGGCATACGCCACCACACCCAGCTAATTTTTCTATTTTTTGTAGAGATGGAGTTTCGCTGTTGCCCAGGCTGATTTGAAACTCCTGGCCTCAAGTGAGGTTCCTGCCTCAGCCTTCAAAAGTGCTGGGATTACAGGCGTGAACCACTGTGCCAGGCCTTAGCACTCATATTATTTGGAGCTCTTACATATCTCCCTTATGATGGAATAGTCCCATGAGAGCGGTCATCATGTTGCATTTTACAGAAGAGCATGCTGGGGCTCAGGGTGGCAACATGACAGCTCAGCATCTCACGGTGAATGGAGGAGTTAGGTCTAGAAACAAGTCCAGTGCTCGTTCCACCAAGAGACACCAGCGAATAAACTCTAAAACTTATTTTTGGTAGAAATTCTCTAAAATATGTTAAATATTCTCTGACTTTTTCAACAGAAGGTGCTGGCCTAAACTGAATCTCTCCCGGGTGGCTCAGTCACTTGCCAGACTGTTTGGTACCGCCAGACTGTACTTTTCAGCTTTTCTCTCTCCTTTAACATCCAGCTGCCGGTTGCCATCCGGTTGCCATTTCTGCTGTCCTTGTGCCTCTAACAGCCCTCACACCTTTCCACTTCAAACTCTCGTTCCCGTTCTAGTTTCAGGCAGGCTTGGTATCTGGACAACTAAGGTTGCTAAAATCGTGTGTTAAATAAGAGTCAATAAAGCTGTAGGTGAAGACTTGAGGAAAGGTGGTGTCTCCTTGTAGATGCTGTTTGTGTTCTGGGGGTGAGGCTATCCCAGGGCCTGTCCACTGAAAATGGGGCATCGCTACGTGCCTTTGGCAGATGAAATGCATGGGGAACTGGCTTGGGGGCAGAGGAAGGGGGAGCCTCCCTCTTCCTCATCAGCTTCGATCAGCCTGCCTCAGAATATCTTGGCAAATTCATCACTGTCCCAGGCCAAGAAAGACTGGGCATCCTGGGTCCAAGTGATTACAGCAGCTGCCTTTGAGAAGCACCTTGCCTGTCCTGCCGGAGTCTCTGGCTTGTGGAGTTGGGGTGTCAGGGAAGCAGTGGGAGGAAGGTGAGGGGACGAGGGTGGGCAGACGGCCCCGTAGATGTTCTCTCCTGCTGCTCTCACCAAATTGGGACGTGCCAGTTAGGAATGTGGCAGCAAGGGGATATTTTTATCAATAAAGGGGGTTGTCACAGCTTCCTCCAGAGCCAGCAGCCACAAGAGTTGAGTGACAGGCTCTCAGCTGTCAGCCCTTCAGGCACTGCCAGACATGTCCTGCACTGCCTCTCCACATCTGGCCGTGGCTGGGAAGCAGGAAGATTTCACATCCCCCAAACATGACAAATCCAAATCACGCCTTAAAAAAAAAACCACACTATTAAAAACCTAAATGCAATTTCAAGAACTTAGCACTTGGGGGTGGGGGAGCTTGGCCCGGGAGTAGGAATTGAGAAATGCTTATTAGCTCAATTCCTCTTTCTGATGTAAGGAACTAGGCGAGTGTGAACGGCTTTTGGCTGTTTCCTCGCTGTCAGAAAGGCTGACATTCCATAGAGGCTGCCCCCGCCCAGTGCCTACTGGTTTAGCCATTTTTTCTGCGCTGCAAAAGGGCTGGGATGATTCGGTGGCCTCGGGTGGAGAGGAGACCCAGGACAGGCAGCTGTGGGGAGCCGGTGGTGGAGGTGGACTGACATTTTGTTCCCAGGCAGAGGAGGGAGGGTGCACTTTGGCCACTGGTTGTCCAGCTGGGGAGGCCTGTGGACATGGGGCAGGGCGCTGCTCTCGCTGGGGTGGGGGTCCTTCCTCAGGCAGCTCCCTACCTCTGGATGTCCAGGGAGGAGACTTCAGTCTCCGTCCGGGTCAGGCACTGATTCCAGCCAACTGGTCCTATGTACATCCCTCTCGAGGGCTACTTCTTTTTTTTTTTTTTGAGACAGAGTCTCACTCTGTTGCCTGGGCTAGAGTGCTGTAGCGTCAGCCTAGCTCACAGCAAACTCAAACTCCTGGACTCAAGCGATCTTCCTGCCTCAGCCTCCTTAGTAGCTGGGACTACAGGCATGCGCCACCATAATTTTTTATATATATATTAGTTGGCTAATTAATTTCTATATATATAATATATAGAAATAATATATAATATATAAATAATATATATAAATCTATATATTAGTTGGCTAATTAATTTCTTTCTATTTATAGTAGAGATGGGGTTTTGCTCTTGCTCAGGCTGGTTTCGAACTCCTGACCTTGAGCAATCTGCCCTCCTCGGCCTCCCAGAGAGCTGAGATTACAGGTGTGAGCCACCACGCCTGGCTCGAGGGCTACTTCTTGAAAGGTGCTGTGGGGGAAACAGAAAGAAGAGCAGACACAGAATGGGGGGGAGAGAGATGGCCACGCAGGGTGTTGGGACTATGCTTTCCCATGGCAGAACTCTGTGCCCCTAGCACCTCATGGGGTGCCTGCACCTGGCAGTGCTTTATAGAGGTTGGCATGTCCCCAGCAGTAAGTGGCAGGGGCTTCAGAGGAGGGAGAGCACCCAGGCTCAGGGATTTATGGTGGGGCACGGGGAGCTTCTCAGAGCAGGAGGACTTTTTTGGCCCTTATGTCTAGTGGAGGAACGTGGAAGGGGCTGGAAACTAGCGACTGGAAAGAGACACTTGACCAAGCATGGATGGGAGCGACGAGGCCACCCTGGCTATCTGTTCCCTTTTCCTTGAGAGGCTGAAGAGTGGGTAGCTCAGTGGCTTTCCACCTTGGTTGTGCAATTATCTGCTTTATATATATATATATATATATATATATATTTTTTTTTTTTTTTTTTGAGACAGAGTCTCACTTTGTTGCCCAGGCTAGAGTGAGTGCCATGGCGTCAGCCTAGCTCACAGCAACCTCAAACTCCTGGGCTCAAGCAATCCTGCTGCCTCAGCCTCCCGAGTAGCTGGGACTACAGGCATGCACCACCATCCCTGGCTAATTTTTTCTATATATATTAGTTGGCCAATTAATTTCTTTCTATTTATAGTAGAGACGGGGGTCTCACTCTTGCTCAGGCTGGTTTTGAACTCCTGACCTCGAGCAATCCACCCACCTCGGTCTCCCAGAGTGCTAGGATTATAGGTGTGAGCCACCGTGCCTGGCCATCTGCTTTAAAAAATCCTGAGATCTGGGCCTCATCCCCAGAGATCCTGGTACAACTGGTCTGGGATGTTGCTGGGCACTGGGGTTTTTAAAAGCTCCCAGGTGCCACCAAGGTTGAGAAGCTCCTGTTAGAGCAGTGGTTTTCAAAGGTTCACATGCATCGGAATCACCTAGAGGGCTAATTAAAACTGCGGATTGCCATGCCCATTCCCTTGAGTCGATGACTTAGTAGGGCCGAGGTTCAAGAATTTGCATTTCTAACAAGTTCTCAGGTGGTGCTGATGCTGCTGGCCCAGGTCCCACACCTAGAGGACCACTTGTGTAAGAGCAACCTGTTGCCACGGCACTAGGCAGGCCGCTGGGTCTGGGAGGAGTGTAGCGTGTTGGAAGGCGCCCTGGCCTGGGAGTCAGAGGATGTGGTTTGAGTTGGGCCCTGCCCCTTGTATTTGGGTCTGTGCCCCTACAGCAAATCATGTTGCCTCCAGGCCTCATTCTGTCCATCTTTAAAAGGTAGCAGTTACTGGGGCTCCGGGCTCTCAGGGTAACTGAGGTCAGGAGAATCAGGGATGCCAAAACGCTCGCCAAGGGTCAGGTTTCTTGCTGTTGGACATCAGCAAGGGTTTCCTTAACTTGCTGGCCAGTCTCCAGGGGAGTGTACCCTCCTACCCCCTCACCCCCGCCACTCAAAGGGCCTGATCTGCTTCCCTGGACTCTCCAGGATGAGAATGTGCCACACCCAGGAAGTTGTTCCAACTGGGTCTCCGCTGGGAAGGGACCTGTTGACCGCCATTGAGGGAGGAGCTTGTCCTAGGCAGCTTGCCCGAGAGGCACCTGATGGGTGGAGAAAACACTCAAGTGTTGGTTGGCAGGAAGGCAGCCTGGCCGGTGTCCAGGGATGACCTGGGAGAGGCTGGGCACTGTCCTGGCCACCGGCCCTGCTAACGATGAGGCCTCGGGGTGCAGGCTGTAGGAGTGAGCTGCTCTTAAAGGAACCCTTGATGCCTCCATTGTGCATAGCCTGCAACCTGGGGTAAGGGGCTGCTGTCCCAAGCCAAGGGTCAGCAGAGGTAGGTGCTAGGTGGGGATAGCGGCTCAGGATCGCATGTAACCCAAATGTGCCTTGTTCATGCTCCTCTCTGTGTCTCTTCCTGGAAAGTCTTCCCCACCCCCATTTTGTGACATCCTGCACCCCTCTTCCAGGCTCTCTCTTCCACAGATCTCTGCCTGGCTTCCGGGCCTGCATGGATGCCCGGGCACCCTTGGCACCCTTTTCTAAGCCTCTCTAGCTTCCCCTCTGTTTCCTCCTCTGGCCTTAGGCACGTACCCGCCTCTGGGCTGTGTATCCCCTTCCCCATCCAGATGGTGAGCCTTGCAGGTGTCCCTGCAGCCAGCACGCACCTGCCAGAGTCTGCGTGCCACATCTTGGTGATTGATTGGCAGCCTGAGGTCCTCCCTCTAACCACGTGATGTCCCCACTGAGTGTGATCGGAGTCTGGGGGATGGCCTGGGTGGCTGAGGGTTGTGGTGGTCTGTCTCTCACCAGCTCATGTCCCCTCTGTCTCCCTCCCTAGGACGAGCAGAACTGTGTAGAGACGGTGGAGCTGGGCAGCTATGAGAAGTGCCAGGACCTTCGTGCCCTCCTCAAGCGGAAACACCGCTTTATCCTGCTTCGATCCCCGGGGAACAAGGTAGGGAGATGCCTGCTGCTGCCTGACCTGCACATAGGCCAGGGTCTGCGTGGGAGGTCAGCCCCTGGAGGTCTAAGGCAGGCTGGGCCCCTTGAAGAAGCCTGCAGGGTTTCTGTTGAGTATGGCTGAGGCTTAAACCCAGTGGCCACCGTAGTTGAACGCTTTACTCATTTTGTGTTGGGGTCTCCTCAGCCCCTGGTTGGTAAGAGATGCACTTAGGGCTCCTGTCTCCCTCTCAGCCCTAGGGCCTCCATCTTAGGCTGTAGCTGGATAGTAGCCTTTGGGAGGTGGGGCCCTTGGCCCTACCCCACGCTCTGCGGGAGGCCCTGGGCTGAGGCAGGAGAACTAGGGATGAGGTTTCCACCCCACCAGGCCTCTGGCTCCCTGACGTAAAGTCTGGAGCAGAGAGGAGGGTGTGGCCCCCCTTCATCCCAGGCCTTCCTGGGTGGGCCACCCCTCCTGCCCTTGTGGAAGGCCTGCAGTCCCAGCTCTTCTCCCCCTGGACTCTCCTTTCTTGGCAGTAGCTGGGGGAGGGCTCTTGCTTAAGCGATTCTTTTCCCGGGATTTGTTGTATATGCACATGAAGTTTGCTGTTTGCACCACATTTCTCTGGCGGGGAGTCTGGTGGGTGTTGACACATGATGTAGCTTCACAGATATCAGGAGGGAGTTCAGCTTTGAGGCTGGCGTGTACAGCACCTCTTGCCAGCTCGCGCCCATCTGCAGCTGGGCCACACCTCTGCACGTCATGCAGAGCCTTGCAGAGTGGGGCTGAGTCACAGAGGCCAGGGCTTGGGGAGCAGTTCTGGTCTGGGCCTGCTGGAGGCCGTTCTGTTTCTCCCCCAGCTTTAGGGGCCTAGAGCTCATCCTCTGGACCCTGGAGAAGACCATGATGCTTTGCTCCTTGACCCTTTGACCTGCTCTGCAGGGGATGGGGATAGAGAAGCAACTGAGACAGCAGTGGAGGGGGCTGTGGGGCTCTGATACTAGGGAATTGGAGGAAGTGCCCCAGGGGAGGGGCAGGGTTATAGTGTCATGGGGGTTCCTGGGGCTGGACCTAGGTTTCACTTGACATCTGCTGCTTAGGGCTCTTGAGGACAAGGAGAGTCACATTTTGGTTTTTCAGGCCCTAGACCTGCTCCCCAGTCCTGCAGACCTACTTTCTCTCTGAGCGGGTGCTGTGTATGTGTTTGTGTGTTTGAAAGAGTTGCAAAGTACGTCATATGTGACGGTTTCTGCCTGGGTGTCTGGGCCTTGTGTGTGCACCTCTTTACATGCAGGGGAGCGTTCACCCGGCGTGGGTCTGTCCAGGTGTGTGTCTCGTAGTATGCTTATGTGGATGTGGGGCTCACAGGCCTTGCCTGTCAGTCCTCTGCAAGTGCTGTTCTGTGGGCCACATCCTGGTGGTGGACTGGGTGGGTTGGGCTGGCCCAGGGTGGGACATCACCTTCAAAGAGGCCTGTTTGTGCAGCTGCATCTCGGCTGCTTCAGCCAACACCCTCCCTGCTGTCTCCCCACCCTGCAAGAGTTCAGGTTGGTTCTGGGAACAGGACAGTCAGACTAGAGCCAGGGCTACAGAGCGAGTGGTGGGTATTGCTAAGTGGGACAGCCACTCTGGTTCCAGCCCCTCTGGTTCTAGCCCAAGGGCCCCTGACCCTCACAACCCCCAGGAGCTCACAGAGTGAGGGCTCCCCAGAGGCCAGATGGTGGACCTGGCCCGAGCACCACATTCCCGCATCTCTCACCCTCCTTTCCTGTCGCCCTGGGTGTTCCCATCCTCAGTGAGGCCTCCAGCCTGCAGGAGGTCACATGACCCTGGCTGTCTGGTCCTGAGGCCGCCTTTTTTTCCCTCTAATCAAATAAACAAAGACTCCAGTGTCTTGCATGCCCCTCTCCCCCTGCCTCTCCGTCCCCACACCCCTGCCCATGAGGTCACAGACAGACGCTGCCAGGAAGCAGGGTGGCCACTGTGGGGCCTTGCTGCCCTGCTGGTCTTGGCCAGCTTGGCCCTTTCCTCTTTCCTGCCTCCTTGCTTCCCCTCCCCCTTTTCCCTCTCTGCCATTTTGTCCTTTCCCCTCACCCAGGCCTTGTGGGCCTATTCTGCGGCCATTAGCATGTAAGCTCCTAGCCGGGCCTGTGTCCCTGGGGCTTCTTGGGAGGGCTTGGGTTAGGAACCTGTGCAGCCTGTGGTTCTTTGGGACACAAGGGTGTGGGTGGGGCCAGAGGCACAACTTCTTGGTGTTCTTATTGTGGAATGCCTGGCTCATTCAGCAGGGATTACAGGTTTCCTTGGGGTGGAGCTGGGTCCCATTTAAGCTTGCCTTCCCTCTGCTCCGGGAGCCCTGTGGCTTGTACTGTAGGTCTTCCCTGAGGCCATTTCCCTCCCAGGCGAGCAGGAGGGATGGGCAGCCTGCCTCAGGCCAGGCAGCCAGGGGAGAAGCAGCTGCAGTTTCGGTTGGGTCCAATGGATGGTTCTGTTCTTTGCCCTTTGGGGCCCAGACTCAGGATTCAGAGACCTGACTCCCAGGCCTGCTCTTTGGCACACTCCTGTTCCATGGGCTGCACATGAGTTCAACTGTGTGCTTCTCAAGCTGTCTGCGATGCTAAGCCCTGTACCAGTCAGGGCCTCACAGCTCAGGGCCCATGAACAGGAGTAGCAGCTGGGCTCAGAGGGGCTGACCCCAACATCCTTTCTGGCAGCGCCCATCGCAAAGTTGGGTGGCTTTTGCAGTCCCCAGATGGAGTGTGGTCCTTCCCTGAGCCCGCAGCAGCCCTGATGGCTGGGCTGAGAGGCAGTTGCCAGGGTGCCCTGGGGATTCTGACTTAACTGCAGCTCTGCTGCCAGGATCGAATTTACCCTGGTCATGCAAATGAGCATTTGGCTGTGCCTGGTGTGGTGGGGGTGGGACCCAGGGCTCTGTATGAGGAGGAGGCAGCGGCAGCCAGGAGGAAGTTATATAATGAGGGTGCTGAGGGGGCCAGACTGCAGGTTACATAACCGGGAAAGTGGGGGCAGGGAAGATGCTATCCAACACCAGGGCGGGGGATGGGCAGGCTGGCTACCGCTGGCAGAGAACTAGGGCATCTTGAGGTCAGAGAGTGGGCAGCGGCCCAAAAACAGGGTGAGGGAAGGAACCTTGGCCAGTTCATTCATTTATTGGCTCATTCATTCAGTAACTATTGACTGAGTACCTACTATGTGCCAGGACCTGGCTTTAATCATGTTTAATTCTTTCAGCATTGCTTTATCGTAGGAAGTATTAGCCCATTTTACAGATGAGGAAACTGGGACTGTTTTGTCCAGAAGGAAGATAGTAGTGTTAATTCCTGTAACTGAGCATTCACTCTACCTAGTTCCAGATTTATTATAGCACTTCAGATACATCATTTTTTCCCCAATTTTTGAAAATTGTGATCAAATACACATAACATGAAATTTATCATCTTAACCTTTTTAAAATTTTTAAAAATTTAATTTAATGTAATTAAAAATATTTATAGCTGTAGGGGGTTATCTAAATCATTATTTATTTTTAATTTTTTAAACTTTTTGTAAAGATAGGGTCTTGTTATGTTGCCCAGGCTGGTCTCAAAATCCTGGCCTCAAGCAATGCTCCTGCCTCAGTCTCCCAAAGTGCTGGGATTACAGGTATAAGCTACCTCCCCCAGCCCATCTTAACCACTTTTTTTTTTTTTTTTAATATAGAGTCTCACTTTGTTGCCTAGGTTAGAGTGAGTGCCGTGGCGTCAGCCTAGCTCACAGCAACCTCAAACTCCTGGGCTCAAGCCATCCTGCTGCCTCAGCCTCCCGAGTAGCTGGGACTATAGGCATGCACCACCATGCCCGGCTAATTTTTTGTATATATATTTTTAGTTGGGCAATTAATTTCTTTCTATTTTTAGTAGAGACGGGGTCTCGCTCAGGCTGGTTTCAAACTCCCGACCTCAAGCAATCCGCCCACCTTGGCCTCCCAGAGTGCTAGGATTACAGGCGTGAGCCACCACGCCCGGCCCATCCTAACCATTTTTAAAGTGTACAGTTCAGTATTGTTAAATACATTCATCATGCACAGCCATCACTGCCATCTATCTCCATAACTCTTCTACTTGTAAAGCTGAAGCTCTATACCCAATAAACAATAATGCCCACTCCCCTTTCCCTCAGCCCCTGGCAATTATCATTCTACTTTCTAGAATTTTGACTACTCTGGGTACTTCATATAGATGGAATCATACAGCCTTTATCTTTTTGTGTTTGGCTTCTTTCACTTAGCATAATGTTTTCAAGTTTCATCCATGTTGTAGCATGTGTCAGAATTTCCTTCCCTTTTTTTTTTTTTTTTTGAGGCAGAGTCTCACTCTCTTGCCTGGGCAAGAGTGCAGCAGCATCACCATAGCTCACTGTAATCTCCACTTCCTGGGCTCAATGATCCTGCTCCCTTTTCCTCCCCAGTAGCTGGTACTACAGGTGTGTGCCACCATGCCCAGCTAATTTTTCTATTTTTTATAGATGGGATGTTGCTTTATTACTTAGGCTAGTCTTGAACTCCTGGTCTCTAGCAGTCCTCCTGCCTCAGCCTACCAAAGTGCTAGGATTACAGGCATGAGCCACTGCGCCTGGCCTAGAATTTCCTTCCTTTTCAAGGCCGAGTAATATTCCGTTGTGTGTATATACCCTATTTTGCTTATCCATTCATCTGTCATGGACACCTGGGTTTCTTCCCCTTTTTGGCTGTTGCAAATAATGCTATGAGGATGAGTGCACAAATTAGATATTATATGTCATTGTCCAGTGAGATTCACAGCTCCATGAGGCAGGCTGTGGTGGTGTTCTTTTCTACAGATGAGGAAACTGTGGCCCAAGATCAGATACCCATAAGCGGTGGACTTTCTGGCTCATAGGCCCTACTGAACTGTCTGTGGCATGAACAGCCCTGTTTGCATGGCTATGTTCCTTCTTCTCACGTCCTGTCTGGGAGTTGGGCCTGGCAGGGATGGAGCTCTCCGAGCTGCCTCCTGATTCTAACATAGGAGCTTGAAGCTCTGGCCTGAGATGGGAAGGGACCCGTGGGTGGTGTGAGGCGGGGAGTCACGAGTCATGGGATCTACTTTAGGCCATCTTGGCCAAGTCCTGTCCCATCTGCCAACTCTCAGTTTGATCACGTGTGTGATGCAGGGATTGGAACTGACGCTCCAGTGCACGTCTCTTTTACAGTTTCTGATTCAAGGCCAGATGGGGAGCCCTGGGACTTTAGGAATCTGGGCATATTTTTCAGCTGGGGTCAGGGTTAGGTGTGGGGCTCATTGGAGAGCTGAGGTGGCCGTGGTTCCAGTGGGCCCTCTGTCATTCCACTCAGCCCGGCGTGGGTGTAGACTGGGACTATTCCTACTTATGAAGAAAACTGAAGTGCAGAGAGCAGGCCGCTGGCCTGTGGAGTCCCACGGGACAGGACCAGATCCAGGCTCTTTCTACGGGCAGGGCTGATTCGAATCCACACCTCTGGCAGCTGTGTGCTGGGCAGGGGCCTTCTCTGCTGGATCTTTCCCTTTCTTTGCCAGAAATCCAGATGTAAGACTGTTGTGGGAGTCATTTTGGTTTGACTTTGGGATATGCAGTGGGAAGCCTCTTTAAGATGCCAAACATGAGCCTTGTCAAACATCTGCCTCCCACACCTCCCATCTTGCCTGCAGGTGAGCGACATCAAATTCCAGGCACCCAGCGGGGAGGAGAAGGATTCCTGGATCAAAGCCCTCAATGAAGGGATCAACCGCGGCAAGAACAAGGCTTTCGATGAGGTGCGATGCAGTCCTGCAGACAGCTGTGTCCCCTGTCCCACCTCACCCCAACCACCCATTGATTATGTCACCAGGATGGGGCATCTGTTGTTGTTACCTCATTTAATTCTCACAACAGCCCCTCAAAGTAGGTGGTGGCGTCCCCATTTTATAGATGAAATGGAGGCATAAGGAAATTAAGTAACTTGTTTTAAATTAAAAGGCAGGTAAGTGGTGGGGTAGAATTTGCCTGGTTGCTGCATGCATCCTTTCCAACCCAGTCTCAGTGGAAACGGCAAGTGGGCCCAGGCCAGAGCGAGCTGGGGCTAAGCTGAGAGCTCCCTTTCCAGTTTGCCCATGAAGCCCAGGCCGGGCTGGCTCTCAGCCCTGGGCCTCCTTGTCTGTCTGCAGACTTCAACCCCCTGCGCTGTAGCGGGGACCGTGGCAATAGTGGCTTGGGCCGGGCAGGATTATCCCACGAGGCCAGCCTTCCTAGGGAGGCTTTATCTTTGACATCATGGATCCTTTGCTGTTCACACTAAAGTGGGCCTGGGGGCCAGCTAGAGTGACGCTCACTTTGGATTGCAGAAGACTAAGACCTGAGGGGAGAGAATCTTCCTGTGCAAGTCCCCTATTAACATCTAGGTCTCCTGACTCCCCGCCTCTGGCTCCTATATGTCATGTACTGGGTGACTTTGTCACGCTCAGCCCTTCACTACCTATGGGGAGATGTCCCCATTCCATGGCAGAGCGATGATGGGACATATGGATGTTAGGTGAGGCCACAGGAGCCATGGGATGAGTCTCAGCCAACAGTCTTGGTGGAACAAGGTCCACCCCTCCATTGAGGAACAGGGACAGTGAGACCCCCAGTTGGGCCTGAGCCCCCACTTCCCATTGCAGGGGCAGGCTGCTCTGTCATTTAGAGTCCGGCTCTCCCAGGAGAATCTGGGTTTTTTTTTTTTTTTTTTTTGTTTATGTAACCAAGATGTTTGTATTGGGTTTTTTTTTGAGACAGGATGTTGGGCTATCACCCAGGCTGGAGTGCAGTGGTGTGGTCATAGCTCACTGGAGCCTTGAACTCCTGGGCTCAAGTGATCCTCCTACCTCAGCCTCCCAAAGTTCTGGGATTACAGGCACCAGCCATGGCGCCTGGCCTTCCATGTGAATGTTACTCAGAGGCTTCCCAGCTACTCCTGACTCCTTTTCCTTACCCTCAGAGTGAAGATGCTGCCCTCCAGACACCCAGGCCCAAAGAGTAGAGGCCCTGCCCTTCTCTGGGTTACCCTGTGGGTCCTGGGAGAGTGGCAGAGGCCAGGGCAGACCTTTTCCAGAAGCCAGGTACCAGGGAATCATGGTACCATGGTACCATGATACCCAGCTATGCCCCAAAGCAGCCTCAGGTTGCTTATATAATTTGCAGTAGACTCAGGGGCAAGGGCTGATAGCTCTTACTTGGGCAGGAAGACTGAAGCAAGCAGGGCAGTTGCAGAGAGGGAGGGCTCAGACTTTGCAAGAGCCCACCAGGGCAGTCTAGAGTCCCAGAGAGAAGCAGAGGTCCAGAAGCAGGGAGACTCCCAAAGAGAGGACAGTGGTGGGACACCGACCCTACCTTTGAGTCAAGTCAATGCCTGGGTATTTCCCACTTTCCCCAAGGCCTGGTGGGGGCTGACCTGGTTCCTTCTCCCTCCCAGGTAAAGGTGGACAAGAGCTGTGCCCTGGAGCATGTGACACGGGACCGAGTGCGGGGGGGCCAGCGGCGCCGGCCACCAACGAGAATCCACCTGAAGGAGGTAAGGCTTTGCCCCAGCTTGGATGGTCGGAGGGCAGTTGAGCCTGGGATTCCAGCTCCTTTGGGTGGCAGCCAGGCTCGGGGCCACCTTTTTCCCGCGAGCACACCTGGAGGTGGGGCTTCCTGAGTGGTGTACTGGAAGGGTGATGTGGGCACCTGTGTCATATGTGTGCGGGGTGTGGATGTCTCTGAGCCCACGGCCTCCTTCATTTGTTGAATCCATACACATGTTGCACCTGGCCTTAGCCAGAGTTGGTACCAGAGGGAAACTGAGGCTTGTGAGGGTAGTCCTTGCCCCTCTGGGCTCAGCTTCCAGCTGGAACAGAGGTCTGTCCACAGACTACTTCAAGCAGAGCCTCTCTGATTTTTGTACACGGGAGGGATCTGGGAGGTCAGAGCAGGAGGGACCACGAGGAGCCACTGGCATTTGAGCTGCCCCTTGAAGGATGGGGGTGGTTTCAGCTGGTGGACTTGGAGTGAGGGCATCTGTGGAGGAATGGCGTGACTGGTCCACAGTGCCGAGAGTGGCTCCCTTTGCTTGGGAGGTTGGTCTGAGAAGGTGGGTTGTGGGGGGAAAACTGGCGGCCTTGGCTTTGAGAGCTGGGGCTGAGGGGGTGTGTTCCAGAGGTTGGTTTGAGGCCCTGGGTGGGGCAGGTTGGGTCAGAGAGGGAAAGGCAGGGGTCAGGGAGGGGTGGGAGAGGTGGACTTGCTAGGCTTAAGGAAGGGTTGTAAAAGGAGGGGGTGTCCATGGGAGAGACACTGGAAAGCAGGAGCTACCCAGGCTTGGGATTGAAGACGGGACTGGACAGAGGGCAGGTCGTGGGAGGTGCCTCAAGCCTGGAGTCTGGGCGCATGGAGGCCCTGGGAGCAGGGAGTTTGGGAGAAGGTACAGGTGAGGGGGAGGGGCAAGGGAGGAGCCTTGTTCGGGCCAGAAGCGGATGGGGCAGGCGAGGGGAGGTTTGGGAGGTCAGGAAAGAACCTCAGCAAATGCTACCTTTGGGGATTGGAGGGGACTCAGCAGGGAGCCAAGGAAGAGGAAGCGAGAGAGGCAAGTGGCACATCTGGAGAGAGATGGGCATAGGACCTGGGGGGCATCAGCTAGGTTGGCAGCCACAAGGGCAAGACTGAGGAAAGGGCAGGTGGTGGCGTTTGGGACATATTTCCTAAGAGGAGGAGTCAGCATAGGTTGGGGGGTGCTGGGGGTGGAGGGGAAGGAGACCATGTGGGGAAGGACCCAAGGTCACCAGAGGATTTGTTTTTGTGATGAGACAGCCTGTGCCTGTCTGTCAGCCAAGGGAGGGGAGCCCACTGAGGAAGCCAGAGAAAGGGAATGCCTGGGGTGGTGGGGCGGGGAGGGAGCAGCGTGTGGGTGTGTGTTGGGTGTCTCTGGTTGTCCCTAGTGACTGAGAGCGTGTTGGCCAGATCCTGTGGTGCATGTGAAAGGGAGTGAGGGTCCTGCCAGGACCCCCGCCATCTGAGGGGCCTTGGGAAAGGCCCCCTGCCCAGCCTTGCTCCAGGGCTCCTGAGGCTCCCTGGAGGGTCCCCATGACCGTGGGGCTGCCAGGTGTCTCTGTGGGCCCTTGGAGCCTTGGTGCAGCTGTTCTGTGGCAGTCAGCTGTGGCCTGACGCCGTGAGGAGAGTGGACACGGGCTGCCGAGCAGCTGGGCAGGCAAGGGCTGGAGAGGGGCTGGCTGACTGGACACAGGTCTCTGGAAGTGAGGGAGCTCGAAGTGACTCAAGAGACCTATATGTGAGTCCCGGTCCTGTCACCGGCTGGCTGTGGGAATACTGGGCGGGTGGTGGGTGGGTGGGCTGCAGAGAAGGGGCTGTCCCAAGGCCATACAGCCAGTTAGGGGTCAGAAATGGGGCTGGAACCATGTCCCCTGCTGCCCAGGCCAGCACAGTTGCCCCTAAAAAGAGTCTTTCCAGCTGGAAGAAAGCAGGCTGGGCCTCTAGGAGGATACCCTGGCTCTGACTTCCTGGCCAGTGACTCCAAAACAGGGAATTCTTTGGCAGTGAGGGAGAGGAGAGGATTCGTCTCAAGAAATCACTTTGGCTTCTAATCAAGTAGCCTGGGAAGCCAGGGCAGAGGGGGTAGGGGCCAGGGGCCTGGACAGCCTAGAGAGGAGGGCTGGAGAACTCCCGTAGCAGGGCACACCTGACCCAATGGCCAGTCAGCCAAGATGACACCTGACACCATCCCCCCACCAGGTAGCCAGCGCAGCTTCTGATGGGCTTCTGCGCCTGGACCTTGATGTTCCGGACAGTGGGCCACCAGTGTTTGCCCCCAGCAATGACGACAGCTCAGACCAGCCCCGGGAGGCCCCCCGGCCCCCCATGCCTCCGACCAAGCCGTCCCCAGCACCCGAGACGACCAGCCTTAGTGACACGGTGGAGACCCCTGCGGGGGAGAGAGCCCCAGCTCCTGTCTCGGCTAGCTCTGAAGTCCACCCTGAGAGCCCAGAGGACTCAGAGACCCCAGCAGGGGAGGACAGTGGCTCTGAGCAGCCCCCCAACAGCATCCTGGCTGACAAACTGAAGGTGAGCTGGGAGAACCCCAGCCCCCAGGAGGCCCCTGCTCCGGAGAGCGCAGAACCCTCCCAGGCACCCTGCTCTGAGACTTCAGAGGCCGCACCCAGGGAGGGTGGGAAGCCTCCTACGCCCCCACCTAAGATCTTATCTGAGAAACTGAAAGCTTGCATGAAGGCTTCTGGGCCGGCCCAGAGTCCTGGGCCCCCTGAGACCTCTGCCCCAGACCCGGTGCAGGTCTCAGTGAATGGCGTGGATGACAGTCCTGAGCCTTCCAAGCCATCCCAGGCCACAGGCATGCCAGGAACTCCCCCAAAGGATGCAACAACATCCACAGCGCTGCCCCCTTCGGACCTGCCGGCTCGGTTCCATCCTCGCTGCTCCTCTTTGGGCGACCTGCTTGGGGAAGGCCCCCAGCGTCCACGGAAGCCTGTGGAACGGCTGTATCGGGCCCAGCTGGAGGTGAAGGTGGCCTCAGAACAGACGGAGAAACTGTTGAACAAGGTGCTGGGCAGTGAGCCGGCCCCTGTGAATGCCGAGACATTGCTCAGCCAGGCCGTGGAGCAACTGAGGCAGGCCACCCAGGTCTTGCAGGAAATGAGAGATCTGGGAGAGCTGAGCCAGGAAGCGCCTGGGCTCAGGGAGAAGCGGAAGGAGCTGGTGACCCTGTACAGGAGAAGTGCACCCTAGGGCCCACTGGGCCAGAGGCACGGTCCCTCCTGGCCACCTCCGTCCATCAAAGCCCAGCCCTGCTGAGAAATGTGCTTCTGCTCAGGCTATAGAAGAGCTGCTGGGTATGTCAGGGTTTGGCCAGGACCGGAAGAAACTCCTGGCATCCTTCCTGCCCTGCTGTGGCCAGTGTCTCCAGGTGACACCAGGGCCACTGTCTGGCTGTCTGGCCTGTCCTCCGGGCTCTGGGCCTGGGCTGGGAGCACACACACTGGGACCTATGTCTTGTGTGGTTGTTCCAAACTGCCCCAGGGCTTTGGCACAGCAGTTGGGGTTTCTGGGGGTGGCATCATCTCTGCTCCCCACCCCTCGTAGTTTACATTCCTGACTTCTGAATAGAGCACAGCTGAGCCCCCTGCAGCCCCCATCTCCAGGTATTCCCAGGCAAAGAGCTTCATGGCAAGGCAGCCTCTCAGCCTGCCCCTCCGCCCATCCCGAGTAGCTGCGGAGGTCTGCTATAGGTTCGCCCCTCAGTTGGAGAAGACCCTGGACCCCTTTGGGGCCTCCTAAGGCAGATGAGAGGCACCTGTGTGAGGATGCCATCTGCTGTGTGGCCCCTCTCTGGGCCTGTTTCATTTTCTGCAAAACAAAGGCATTTTCTGCCACTCCCCCCCCCTCTGGCCAGCCGTGAGGGAGGGCTTAATCTGGAGGAGTCCAGGGTGGAAGAGAAACTCAAAAGGTCTCCCAGGCTAGTGTCTGCCTGCCCCCAGATCAGCTCGTGTCCACCCTTGCATGTTCCCGAAGAGGTGAGCCCTAGAGTGGCCCCATTTCAACACCAGAAAAACCTCTAGGTAATTATCATAAATCTGCCTTCAGAAGAGAATCCCCCAACTCCTGTGCAGCCCTCAGCTGGGGATTTGTCAGGGCCTCTGCGGTTCCTCCTCAGCCCCAGCAGGTCCAGTATTCCAGTCATTTCTTCAGACGCCGATGGCGTTATGCTGGGGTCTGAACCACTTCTCTCCCCCACCTGTGGCCCCAGATCCCTGCACCTGGTCCTCTCCCAACACCCTGTCACTCCCCAGCCCCCACTGCCCCTGGCTCTGGGAGCACGGCCAGTCTTCATCCTGCTGCAGCGGCTGGACTGAGGGCAGAGCTGTAGGTGCAGAGGCCCTGCGGGTCGCCAGTGGCCTGCTCCCCAGCCACTCCTCCCCAGCCTGTGGGATGGGAGCAGCTTCCAACAGGGCCTGCCCTGGAGAGGTCTGCATGTGCACTTTTGTTTACTGAAAGAGAAGGTGGGAGGACCACAATAGCACACCCTGGCCTTGCTGCCTGCTGCCTCCACCCCCAGCCACCAGTTGTGCCTGCTGAGGCCTCACTGTACTGTACTGTACTGTCATTTTGTCCTGTAGGTTGGGGCAGGGATCAGGAGGGGCAGGAGTGGAGGTGAGTGGCAGCGCCTTGGCCCTGACCCCATCAGGCTCCCCTGACACAGGCTGCCTGTCCCTCCCTCTGTCTCCAGTACAGAGGCAAGAGTGTCATCAGGCGCCCACAGTCACATGACCCCTGCCATCTTCCTTTAGGGAACAGCCTTCCCCTACGGGCCACCAGGCTGGCTGGGGCTTTAGTCAAGTTACCTGCTTCCAGGAATCAGAGCCTCATTTTCTTTCTCTGTCAAGTGACCGAGCTGGGCAGGTAGCTCTGGGGCCACCTGAGCGGCCAAACGACATCGGTTCCCGTGGGGTTCCCTGGGGGAAGCTGGCTTCCAGGGAAGGAAGGGGGGCGGCCATGCGTAGGGCCGCCTTGCCGCCTCCTTGAGGGGGCAGCATACTGTCTTCTGCTTATGAAGCGCCTTTCTTGAAATCTGGCAATAAATCTGTTTTTTCGGAACTTCTCTGCCCAAGCCTGTTTGTTGGTGTGGGGCCAGCTTCGAGCTGGCCTCTGGGCTGGAGCCACTGCCTGCTCTGTCCTTGCTAGACCCAGGCCCTCTGATTCCCGCCCCAGACCCACCGTTTCCACAGGCGGGGGCTAAGTGTTACAAGGAACAATGCTCTTCAATATTTAAAAATTTTTTTTTTTTTTTTGAGACAGAGTCTTGCTTTGTTGCCCAGGCTAGAGTGAGTGCCGTGGCGTCAGCCTAGCTCACAGCAACCTCAAACTCCTGGGCTCAAGCAATCCTCCTGCCTCAGCCTCCCAAGTAGCTGGGACTACAGGCATTCGCCACCATGCCCGGCTCATTTTTTTTTGTATATATTAGTTGGCCAATTAATTTCTTTCTATTTATAGTAGAGATGGGGTCTCGCTCTTGCTCAGGCTGGTTTAGAACTCCTGACCTCGAGCAATCCGCCCGCCTCGGCCTCCCAGAGAGCTAGGATTACAGGCGTGAGCCACCACGCCCAGCCTAAAAACTTTTTATTGGGAAATAATTTCAAGCTTAGGGAAAACTCGCAAGAATAAGAATAGCACAGAGAATACCCATTTACTCTACCCAAATCGACCCATTGTTTTCTCCTTTGAGCACTTCCTCTCTTTCACATGTGCACATAATTTTTTCATGAATCATTGGAAAGTCAGTTACCTTGGTCCCTTACCCCTAAAATATCCGGTCTATATATCCTAAAAATAAGTGTATCCTCTCACGTAACCATGTACAATTATTCATGTCAGTAATTTGACATCAATACAATAGTTTATTGTTCATACTCCAATTTTGCCATTTGAGCCAATATCATCTTTTATTGTATTTTTACTCCAGTTAGGGTCAGCTATTGCATACAGTTGCCATCTCTCTTTAGTCTTTACCACTTAATCTGAACCATTTCCACAGGCTTTCTTTGTCTTTGGTGATGCTAACATTTTTGAAGAATACAATCCTCCTCCCCTAATAGACCTGCCTCATTGGGGTTTGTCTGAGGTTTCCTCATGACCAGATTGAGGTTATGCATTGTGTCTGGAGAACTGCATGAGTGACACCGTGTCCTCAGGGTATCACATCTGGAGGCACCATCCGTCTGCCCCTCTTGGTGATGTTCATTTTGATCACCTGGGCAAGGTGTCTGATTTTTCTACTGTATAGTTAATTTTTTTTTCTCTTGCAACTAATAAACAATCTGGGTGACATCTTGAGATCATGCAAATATGTTGTACCTCACCACAAATTCCCCCAGATTTAGTATCCATTGATGATGCTTGCTGAACAGGTGTTTCCTATAATGGTTTCAGAATGATGTTGTTTTACCCGCAGAGCCCAGTCCTGGCTGAGGGTGAGCCTGGGCCCTGTTTTAGGCCTGTGGCCGCCCAACACGTGTCAGCAGAACCCCAGGGCTTCCCTGAGCGCTCTTGGGAAGTTCCCGGGCCAGTGGACAGAGCTCCAAGTCAGGCTGCCAAGGTTCAGATCCCACCCTGGGACTTTGGGTGGGTCTCAGTTTCAGAGGGACTTGGTTTCCTCATCTACAGAAGACTATCATGCACCCCAGTCCCCTGTGTGGGGAAGCGCCGCTGTGCTCGACCTCTGTGAGGGCTGCCGGACAGGCCCGGGGGCCAACATAACAGGAAGCACCTGACCCAGGCCTCTCAGCTGTGGCTATGACCCTTGTGTCCCTCCTGAATTTCCCCACCTCTGCCTGGCATGTGACAGCCATACCATGGGAGTGTCCTGCAGAAGCTGGGGGACCTCACGTGAGTCACTTCACCTTCACAGGCCCCTTCGTCTGCGAGGAGTCTCTTTATTCTTGGGAGTGTCCCGTCAACCCCGACCCACGACTAGGACTCCACTGTGAAGGCCAGCCTGCCTTGCAGCTCTGTAGCTGCTGGGATGGCGTTAGTGGCCAGGGGAGGATGTGATAAGCACGTTTTCCCTCTGGTCCTGGGGGCTGGGGGCCTGTGCAGAGGAGGGAGCCCTCCTTGCAAACACAGACTGCCATATCTCAGTGGCCTGAAGTCCTGTGTATGTTATAGTGCAGGGTTTGCAAACTACAAAGTGGCCACATATAGACTGGACCCAGGACGGAAGGGGAAGGCCTGGGGGAAAGGGGTATCGGATTGTCCCTGCTACCCCCACCTGAGCCTGGGGGCCTGGAAACACCCTGCATCTCTGGAGTCACTGTGTCTAGAGCCCTCCTCCAAGCCCCACACAAACTCACTCCAGTGCTGGTTTCTGTGACAGAGGAGGCTCTGTGATCAAACACGGAAGGAGGAGAAGTGATGGTGGAAATTCCTCCCTCTTATCATAATGTTATTTAAAAACAAAATTCCTGGTCAGGCGTGGTGGCTCACGCCTGTAATCCTAGCACTCTGGGAGGCTGAGGCGGGCGGATTGCTCAAGGTCAGGAGTTCAAAACCAACTGAGCAAGAGTGAGACCATACACTCTTCTGTCATAGTATTAAAAAAAAAAAAAAAAAGTGAGACCACATCTCTACTATAAATAGAAAGAAATTAATTGGTCAACTAAATATATATAGAAAAAATTAGCCGGGCATGGTGCCGCATGCCTGTAGTCCCAGCTACTCGGGAGGCTGAGGCAGGAGGATCGCTTGAGCCCAGGAGTTTGAGGTTGCTGTGAGCTAAGCTGACGCCATGGCACTCACTCTAGCCTGGGCAACAGAGTGAGACTCTGTCTCAAAAAAAATAAATAAATAAAAAATAAAATAAAAACAAAATTCCTGGAGGAAACAGCAGGGCATAAATAGAAAAATCTTGCTTTCAGATTTGGAGGCAGACATACCTAGATCCAAACCGTTTAAACCGAGGTCATCAGTGACCTCAGGCAAACTGTGCCTCAGTTTTTCTGTCTGTAAAATGGACTGATTCTCCCTCCTTCACAGGATTGCTGTGAAACACTACCTAGCAGGTGGCCTGCCTCATAGAAATACTTAATAACCCCTGGCAGCCTGGCCTCATAGAACACCTACTGTTTGCTAGGCCTATTTTCTTACTGTCACCACAGTGGCCTCACAAGGAAGATGTGATGTTCACTCCATTTCACAGGCTAGGAAACTGAGGCTTAAGCAACTTGCCTATGAGACCTAAATTAGTGTCAGGACCTGGAATTCGCCCCTCCTGGGGTCCTGGCCTGGGGCTACGACTGACTGATTCCTGCTAATTCTCTGGAGGGTCTATGATTTTAGATGGAGGCTCAGCCCAGGAGACTGGGGCACCCCTACCTTTCCTGGCACCTGAAGGATACCCCAAAGCCTGGCCGGTTCTCCACCAGCTGGACGTGGCCCAAGGGAGAGGCTCGGGAGGCCCTTCCCTTATAAGGACAACAACTCAGCTGTGATGAAATTTCTCGGCCTCCCAGCTGGGGGGTGGAGGAGGGGGAAGGGAAATGACTGTGGCTCTGAGGGCTACAGCTGAGAGGTTAGCCTCAGCTTGGGCAGGAACTCGCCCACGGGCCTCCCCTCTCCCCTTCCTGTGTTAGCAGCTGAGCAGGGCTTTCCAGTACTTTCCAGAGGGTCCCACTGGCAGGGCCTGTGAGGCCAGAGGGAGTGGCCCACAGAAGGGAAGGTGCTGTAGGTCTGGACTCCCAGCTGTGGGCCTGTTTGGCGCCCACCCCACTCTCAGAAGGCCCAAGAGAGGAGGCCTGAGGTGGCTCTTTGGCAAGTTGTGCCTTTCTCCCTTTGGACCCCCAGGGCCAAATCTTTAGCTGAGGGGGGGCTGGCCAGCTTGCAGCACCCCCATCCTCCTGCTCCCACAGCCCTTCCCAAGGGTGCTGCCCTCCCCACCAGCTCACTGCCCTGCTGAGAAGCCAGCCTTAGAATCACAGGCTGGCACAGCTGGTAAGGATCTGTGAGACCTTTAGTCTCACCTGCTGGGTTTAGAGGAGGAAGTAACAGCTCAGAGGGAGGACCTGAACTTGTCCATCTGTTTCATTAAATATGTGTGTGTGTTTGGCTCTTCCTTGGTTTCCTGTTAAAAGTTTGTTTTTAAGGAATCCCAACGTGTTCACTGAATAAAAGGACAA